CTACAAGCCATCAATCAAACACAAGAAAGTTAATCTACCAAAAAATCCACTCCCCAAATGTTCCCACAAGAAGGAACCAATCTGCTCCCAAACCAAAATCCAAACTCCTGTATAAATCAACACCTCCTAACCATCAACACACAAGAACCCGTTGGCAAGCAACAAATAAGACCAACCACAGCCAAAATACCAAGCACACCCCTCAAACCAATAATACATTTCCCACATCAAGAAGGAAAAGGATTAATAAATACATAGTCATTCCCTATGATTACAACACCTCTAATGGCTATAGACCAATCTGCTTAGAGCTTAATGGTTCTAGATGGGCATGGATGCCTAAACTTGTACAAGGGAAGTCGCCCACTAACTTGTGGGTTACTACTCAACACTGATCTATACAGGAAGGTGCTGGAGCAGCTGAAACACAAACATGGTACATAGATTCAGGCTGCTCCAGACACATGACGGGCAGCTGACACCTAGTGTGCCAAATCGATTGATTTAGTCACGGACCGCAGTGTAAAAAATCCGAGACTAACATAGTTAGTCACGGATTTTGTCCGACGTGACTAAAATGTAGTCACTGAACTTTGGCCGTGACTATCTTTCATAAGGGATGCATAGTGAAAAATGATCTTAAACTTCATAAATTAATATAATTAATTTTTTAATTGTTTTATCTTCAAAATTAGTGTCTTATAAAAGATAAGAAAGAGTCATGAATTTAGCTATATTTTTTTAAAGATATACTTCGTAACATTTACAGAAAAGATATTTTCAAAGTATTAATATTTTTTATTTTTATATATTGAATATTGGTGTCATATGAAAGATAATAAAAAGTTATTAATTTTGATATATTTTTTGTAAAAATCAGAGCACAAATAAAAAAATTGTATCACTTTTATAATAAAAATGAGATTTCATTTTTGGGTGGGACCCTGTGTCAAGTGGCGGCTCTCTTAACTAGAGTTGGAGTTGAGGGGAGCATTATTTTGGGGAATACTTCTCACTTAACCTTATTTTGGTAAATATTTTTTTATTTAACATTATATTAGGAAAAATCTCTATTAATTTTTAGTTACTATAATTATGTATAAAATTATATCAAAGTCACTATAAAAGTTCACAGACAATTTTTTTTTTAATTTACAAATATCTATATATTGGAGAGGTTCTTCCTTATAGTTACTTTGATACAGAGTATAAAACTAAAATATAATTCTTTGCTGGAAAACGCTTATATTAAATTCAAAAATCAAATAACTAAACATCCTATATTCTGGCTACCCAAACATTTCATCTAGACTGCTTATAGCCAATAGACAACCTAACTCTCTGATTAGACGACATGTAATTAGGGATGACAATTTAATCCGACCCGATGGATACCCGTACCGAACCAAACCGGTCAAAATAGGGAAAACCACTTTGACAGGGTAACGGGTACGGGGCGGGGAATACCCGATTAATGTAAACGGGTAATGAGGCGGTTACGGGTTTATATATACCCGCCCCGTTACCCGCCCCGTTTAATTCGGATACGGTTACCCGCACCATTACCCGACCCGTACAATTAACTTACATATTTTAATAGTTTATGTATTTATTATTTAATATATTAAGTATATATGAATAGTAGTACATTAGTATATGACACTTATTTCCTCTAATTTTTGTGAATTTCTGTACAGAATTTTCACATTGTGACTCTCTTAATTTTTCACCCAATAACTTTCATAAAGCTCACATAGGAGTTTGAAGTCCAAAGATTGGGAAACATTACTCTAGATTGCTTTAATTTATGTAATTGCTAATAATTTTGTAGATGTGTATTCGATGATTAGATTAATTTTGATAGGTTGCTCTAATTTATATCAAGTTTTAAATTTAAATTATGAGGTTTCTAAAATAGTAACTACAAGAATACCTAAATTATGGTATTAGAAGTACATTTTTTAGAAATAATTCCAAATCTATAATCAAAATAAAAGTTGTGGATAAAAATGCGACTCTAGTAACTTTGATGTTTATAATTTTATTCAAATGTTATATCGTAGTGACTATAAAATTTTCCCATGGTAACTTATAGTCACATTTATGTTCATATATTTTTTATTAGTAATATTTTAGGAAAAAACTTTCCATTTTCCATTATGTTACTTGTATACATTATTGTTCTTAAATTTAGATGTTGAATGTTGGTGGGGTATGAGTATTGAATTTTTGGAAGTTAAATGTTTTTGTGATTCATATATAGATTTTACTATCGAGACAAGACTTAATCTTTTGATGTTGATGTGGTAAGAGATTCAAGATTTTGAATCTAGACATATATAATTCGTGAATATTAGGTTCAAACAATTGTAATTTTTTGTGATGTTTTAAAAAACTTTAGCTGTTGTGCTATTTAATTTTGATTTTTTTAATTTAGATGGTCAATTATAAGTAGTTAATCATCATTTTAGGATTTACACTAATTTTGAAAAAAAAAATATCTTTTAATAAAATGGATAACCACGGGGAAACCGTTACCCGCGGGAAAACCGTTACCCGCGGATAAAAAATACCCAACAGATAACGGGGCGGTTTCAGGGAAAAATATTATAAAATGGGGCGGGTACGGGTAATGGTATACCCGACCCGAACCGCCCCATTGTCATCCCTGCATGTAATAGATTGCCCAATAATGATCAAGATTAATCGTTGACCATGCGAGAAATTCAAAGCTATTATCGGCCAAATTAGCCTGCTTGTTTCCTCCCAAACTAAAAACTAAAGCCACAAAACAGAATTTTCTCTCATATGTAGTGCTTTTATGTATTAGAAGATTAGTTTGCTAACATTTAGTGACTATAATAATAATAAAAACTAGCCCTTATATAATACAAAAAAGCTTATATGCTCTTTTTTCATTTGAAATTATGTAGTACTTTTAGTTACAAGATAAGCCGGTTAACAATTGATCATGAGAACTTTATCTCCCATATATAGTGGTTTTAGGTAAAAGAAGATAAGCTTGCTAATAACTGAGCGGAAGAATTTTCTTTCTAATATATAGTGTTTCTAGGTATGAGTAGATAACATTGCTAACAATTGAGCAGAGAAATTGAGCGGGGAAATTTTCTCTCATATGTAGTGCTTTTGGGTATTGAGCGGGAAAACTCTCTCATATGTAGTTCTTTTAGGTATAAGATAAGCCGACTAACAATTGAATAGAAGAATTTTGTCTCTCATATATAGTGATTTTATGTATAAGAAAATAAGTTCGCTAATAATTGAGCAGGGGAATTTTCTCTCTCACATGTAGTGCTTCAATGTATCAGAAGATAAGTTTGCTAACAATTGAGCAGACAAATTGAGCAGAAAAATTTTCTCTCTCATATATAATGCTTTTAGGTATTATATATATTAGAAGATAAATTTGCTAATAATTGAGCGGGAAAACACTCTCTCTCTTTCTCTCATATGTATTGCTTTTAAATATAAGATAATCCGACTAACAATTGAACGTGAGAACTTTATCTCTCATATGTAGTGATTCTGAGTAACAGAAAATAAGCTTCCTAATAATTGAACGGGGAAATTTTCTCTCTCACATGTAGTGCTTCTACATATTACAATATAAGTTTGCTAACACTTTAGCGGAGAAATTGAACAAGATAATATTTTCTCTCATATGTAGTAATTTTAGATATATGAAATAAGAAAATAAGTTTGGTAACAATTGAGTAGACAAACTTTCTTTCTCATAATGCAGTTCTTTTAAGTATGATTATCCAATTAATAATTAATCAAGAGAATTTTCTCTCATATGTACTGCTTTTAGGTATAAAAATGTATAATAAGTAGATATGTAAGCTAACAATTTAGCGGGAGAATTCTCTCTCTCATATGTGGTGCTTTTAGATATAAGAAGATAATCTTGCTAATTATTAAGCGGGAAATATTTATATATTAATTTATAATTAGATCATGAGTACAAATATATGCACCAACTGCTCTTTTCCGTGCGTACGCACGAGTACGATACTAGTTTGGGAATAAAAAATATGGCAGTCTTATTTTGAAATTTTCGAACTGTTTTAATCCTATTTCGGGAACTTTCTCATTTTTTATTTATGAATTTAATGTTTTATACTAATATAATTTTGTGTGTGTGTCTATATGTTCGTATGTATATATTAGTGTTGACCGGGTTTCGGGTCGTTGACCAGGATAACCCGTGACCCAGATATCTTTCCTGAGCCACTCCTGGTCCGGTTCTTTAAACATAGCTTTCTGTTACATTTAAATGCCTACTTAATTCACTCAATAACTCTAGGTCTACGATCATTGAATTTGTTTACATTTCAATGGGGTATACTCCGTAATTAACTTTTCATTATCCAAAAAGGATGTCATGCTCAAATGTGCATAAAAATATACCTAACAAATACGGAGTACTACGTATATATAATATCTAGCCTTACTGTGCAAATGTGGATATATGATATATCCACCTCTCCTACCGTAATCTTAACACGGAGTACGGCATTCTGAATTAAATCATCTTGCTTCAGCCGTTACCACCATGTTTTACAAGAGTGCAACTGCAAGCACACAAAATGCATTTTTTAGTTACTCAAATACTCCGTAGCAAGTATGAGATGTTTTATATATTTTTTATATCACTACGACACTAACAAAATCATGCCGTGAACACCAAACTGTTTGGAAGTTAGGACAACAAAAAAGAACGAAAATTAATACGATAGTATATAAAAACTTATACTCCTTTCAGTGCTCTTTCATCCATCAAGGAAAAGTGGAGGATGGAATATAAAATCAGTTTTTTTCAAAAATATTACTGAAATGGAACCCATACGGAGTAAGTAATTATTTCTAATAAAATTTGATTCTTTTGCCTATTCTCCTTTCTTTCCTAAAAAGCTAAAATATTTTCATTTGAGTTGATTTTCCAAAAAAAAAATCATTTGCGTTGCTTATTTTCCATCTTTTCCACAAGCGTAGGCATCTATCAAAACACCTACAACGGAAGCAGCAGTGAATGAATAAATTATACCAACACCTATTTCTGGAAACTAATGGTGGTGCTGTTTATAAATACCTAGCCATATTTATACAGTTGCTATATAGAATATAGATACATATATAGAAAGTAAATCTCATCACATCACCCGGATGAACTCCATAGCCTCTCGGTCCTATTAATTCACATTCACCAACTGCTGCTGCTGCAAGCTGCAACAATTCGCTGCCATAACCTCACAATGGCACACACGCAGTATGTAAGTTAATCAATTAGCTGTTTCGACATTATCGAGCAGATGGATTTTGTTTGGTCTTCGAAAATTGGATGTCCCCGCTGACGACATCACTGATAAATTTCTGTACCTCCTCTTCAGACACTTCGCCTTTAAATACGGCAAATTTTCCTCTCCGTGGTTTGTAGGCAAGCAAGAGACGATCTGCTGATTTGAATCCTGATTTGTCAAAAGCCTTCAAGAATTGCTCCTGCTTGATACCATCTAAAACAGCATATGATACTGATTCTCTTGTGCCATACGCTGTGTTCTGTCTTCTCATTACTGATTTTTGAGATACCTGCAAACGAAATCATGGAGTGTTATGCTTGTTCGCTGATTAGCCATAATACTCAATTCAGCTTATTATGTTTATTAGAATAAGCACAAGACATTAATGGAGATATTCTACTTATTCTGATATTTGGTAGAATAACGAGAATGTTCAATTTCATAAACATCAGAAAAGCAATTGACTTGCTTATTCGGTTGATATTGATTTTACTGACCACTTTACTGTTCAGAAAAAAATCAGCATTTTTTCAGCCCTATAACTTTTACCACATAGGTACTTGGAGAGCTTTTGACTTGCTTGTTTGGCTAAAATGAATGTTACCGAAGGCTTTCCTTTTCAAAAAATTAAGCAGATTCAGCTATTCCATTTCAGTAAAGCAACTCTTACAACCAAATGGACTAGTAATAATAATAATAACAGCAACAACAAAATTACTTACAGAGAAGAGAATCTTTTCTATCTTATCCCTTGATTTAGAAGACCTGAAGATGCCAATTATGCAGACCGGAGACTTTTCTCCACATATATCATCAACGTTGGATCCTGTAAGCAACGGAATTTGTTTACGCTCCGACTTCCCATTTTGTGCGGATCCCACCTTCTTATTCTTCTTCTCGAAATTGTCAAGCAAACCACTTAAATCTTGAATAGCAGATTTCACATCTTTTACAGAAATCCCTGTCTTCAAAATATGCTTTTCCCCATTTGACATCCAACCAACAACTGCAGGAAGAGCATCAACCCCTAATCTTCTCACACTGTGATCAGAAACATCGTGTACCTATTTGAAAAGAGAAAAGAAATAAGATATCGTTTACAACATTGTTGCACACCTTCGTTAATTATCACATACAGTACATTGCTTTTACCTGTACATCATAGAAAATGAAACGTTTTCTATAAAAGCCACTAAGAACCCTCCATATTACTGGGGTGTCCTTTTTTGTGGAGAAGAGCATGACTTTTGGTAAACCTCCGGCATCAGTAGAATCAAAATCGAAGTAATTCAAGTTGACACGTTTTGAGAATCTAGGAAGATGCTCCTGACAGAAGTTTTTCACGCTTTTAACATCCACATCACCAAAGTACTCTAAAATGGAACCACTGTCAATCGACTTGAAAGAATAAACAAGCAGTCTAGGGGCACTACGTGGGTGTAAGCCTAGCTCCTTGCAAAGAGATGAGTCGGTTCCACAATTTACCTTTCCTACCTGTTACAAGACAGAAGTGTTTCCGTAACTTACAACATCATGGAGATAACAAAACCCATCCATCCACACCACCGAATAAAGGATAACAAAGAAGAAAAGTAATAGGGAAACGGATGTGAATAGTTGCCTTTCATTTTGAGAAAACCACTTTAGCTTTATTAAAAAATGTACGTAGTAATAAAATTGATAAATTAAATCCACTGTCCTATTTATCTATAAGTACCATAAACCATATACAATTCCCTGAATGTAAAAATACTCACTCCATCCTATAAAGATAGTTCACTGTTACATTTTGGTTTGTCCCTCAATGATAGTCCAGTTTCTAAATTGAACATACCACTAATGCCTTCATTAACATATTTACCCTAATTAATGTATCTTGAACTACTTTGATCCTTTGTCTGCCCTACATAAATTATACAACTAATGTTATCTAAGGGCAGATATGTATTATGCATATAAAACTGATATTTTCAAGTGCAAAAAAATAATGAAATATCTTTGTGGGACGGAAAGTGTAAATGTGTAACAAATTACCCATCGTCCTTTCCTGTCCTAAAACTCATCTCACAAGCGTACCTTTAGTGCTCCTTGTAGTGAGCTGGCAACCTCGCCTATTATAGATTCATAATGTTCAACATTTTTTTCATTAGATGTATAAGATAACAAGAGCCCGGTTATACCCTTGTCAGCTATTTCTTTCTTGAAAGTTGCTGAATCTATAGGCGGGATAGCCTTTACAGTACTCCTTGTTCCAGACTCAGTTTGAGTTCTCCCTGCAGTTCTACTAAAACCACCAGAGTGACGTCCGCCTCCCATTCCGCCACCAAAGAAGTTTGTAAAAATATCATCTAAACCAAAACCAGAGGAGCCTTGGCTACCAGGACCACCACCAAAAGAAAAAGAAAATGATTTTGAGCCTCCTTGTCCACCCATGTTTTGCCAATTACCCGGCCTGAAGCTGAACCCACTTTGTCCTGGTCCACCACTTGTGAAGTGTGTGTATCCACCATGGTCTGCACCATTTCCGGGATCAAACCCAGGAGCACCCTTCTCATCTCCATAAAGATCATAGTTCTTCCTCTTATCTTCATCAGAAAGAATCTCGTACGCTGAAATGAAGAAAAAGAATCCAGTAAACCATATGCTGGCATCACAAGAAAAGGGGGGAAAGCCATAATTGAAAGGTCCGCCCAATAACAACTTGATATACTCACTGGATGTCACTAAGAAATCAGTTTCAGATAGATAATGGGTACTGGGTAAGGGATGATATGAAGTTCATACTAGTATCCGTAAGTCCTAAATATAGTTATACTGCAATATATTCAACAAGCAAGTGAAAGTATGATCTGATTACACAGACGCAGCACAATAAATATAAAAGAAAACTCAAATGAAAAGAACAGTTCGATTTATATTTTTGGCAGATCCTTCAGATAGTAGTGCTAAACTGGTAATCTTGTGAAAATAGAAAAGTTAAGTGCCCTTGTACCATTGTTAATCTCAGCAAACTTCTCTTGTGCCCCCTTTTCATTGTTTTTGTCGGGATGATATTTCAGAGATAGCCTACAAAAGCAAAAAGTAGATTAGTAAAAACGGTCAATGACTAATGCAAATCACATCCAAATATCCAATATATACTACTCCCTTCAATCCTTATTAGTTGTTCCAATTTACTTGTCTCACTTCCCTACCTTTATGAAATGGCCACATCAAAGGTGCTTCCTTTCACGGGCGTTCACCTAAACTAAGTGCAGGTGCCTAGAAAGCAAAAATGAATCCCTAAAAAACTACTTTCTCCAACCCCTACAAACAATATATACTTGTCATTTTATAATTAAATAAAAGTTGCCAAAAAAGAAACACAAACTTTAATGTGGGACTTCCAAAAAAGGAAAGTGATAACTTAATTGAGGACATGAGGGAGTATTAAACTACGTCAACCCCCCCCCCCCCCCCCCCCTACTGGAACAACTGATTAGGAACGAAGAGAGTATTCGATTATACAGGTACTTGAAAGGTGAATGGAAAGAGAACAAGCTAAATAATATAAGGCGAGACCAAGAATCATGCAAAGCACATACTTGTGGAAAGCTTTCTGAATGTCTCGTTGGTTTGCATTTTTATCAACCCCAAGGACCTATTACAAAATACAAGTAAAAAAGTAAGTAAGAAGTTACACAAATTGTAATTATCTGAACCAAAAGGCAGAAACTGCTGAGAAAAGGAATACTTTTCAAGCAATAAATTAAGATTTTCACAATAGAAAGGATTGATTTATAACAGCAAAATTGGGAAAGCCTACAAGCTATACTAATCTTATTATCTTATTATCGAAACATTGGTGTTTTCTATTTTATTCGAGTAAATTAATCAACTTAAAATAAAAAATATTGAGAGAGATATCCAATATTGGAATACAAATTCCCACTTGTTCTTTCAATCCTCCTGGACCTCCTGGTAACAAAGCAATTTACTGCTCTCTTCTGTATATAATAATGATGTGCAGTTTTATTCTTTGATTGATCTTTCTAACATTAAGAACGCATAAATTTCTTACTGATGAGTGTTCAAACATCAACTCCGTGTAAAACAAAAGTTCTCCAAAGGAAATTGAATACAGTGTTTAAGAAATTAATAATGTGCAATATATTATTTAATACAGGCATGCAGGCGCATCACTTTAGCATTAGGGATTCAGAGTATAAGATTCATTCACACTCCATTAAAAGAAAAATAAAAGTTCTTCAACTTTTCCTCCAGAAATTTCTTTATCATCAGTCGAGACAGAACTTTCACCCTCATGCACCCGCAGCAAACGAAATTCGGTGATTGAACTAAACAAACTATATTTTAGGAATTGATGCAATGAATTATACAGATGGGATAGAAACAGGGAGATGCCTGAGAAACTTGCCTTGTAAGGATCAAGGGTTTTTGATTCTACGGTAAAGAGAAACACTGCAAATAGAATTGCTGTTAATCTTGACCTCATTATCTGGTGTAATCCGCAATGAGTGTAATTGTTCCCGTCTCGATGGTGCTCAAATTTTAGTTCAGGACGAATTTGTTAACGTTTCACAGAATTCTGGGAGAAGAAGAAAGGGGTTACAATAAATAGATTTTTGGTGGTCGAAACATCGAGATGATTCTGCGTATACGTGGCAAATCAAAATGCTTCCACGGGATTTGTCCAATAGAAAATTTTAGAATAAAAAAAAAGAAATTTCTACGATGCACTCCTAAATTTTGAGTGCACGGGTACACACATTTTCTTATCCAATCACATTTTAGTATTGTACTACTAAATATGATTAACGACTTGTAGTGAGAATTGAGTTATTAGCCTAAATATGATTGAATTGTTTCTTAAACTTCTAAATAGGACTATGTATATTTTTTATTTTTTAAATAGGACTTTTATACCATATTTGTCCTTCCTAATATAAATAAGGTTTAAATATTTTTTTAGTCTCTGCAAATATAGTATCCCTGCAAAATTATTTTTTTTTGTTTTTTATTTCTAAAATGTATGTTAGTTTTTCTTTTAGTCTACCGCTGATGATAATAATGGAATTTAATACGTATTTTAAAAATGTGAGTAATTAGTTTTTATTTTTTTTAACTCTCATATTTTCCTCAAAAAAATTATAGGGATGCATTTTTTTAGTGATATACTAAAAACCAAATAATGCATAATATATAGATGAAAAACATAAAAAATATATTTTGCAGGGACTTAAATCATATTTAAACCTATAAACAATTGCCCCCTATTCCCTATTCCGGTGATCCAGATCCGCGGCGTCGGCGTCAGTGTAGGCCAGATCTTTAGCGGTAGAGGCCGGATCTTTAGCGCCGACGGCCGACGTGGCCATATCTGGTCAGATGTACAGTGGTGGTTCATGGCAAGATGTGCAATGTCAGTGACTAGATCGGTGACGCCCAGATCTGACCAGATGTACGGAGGTGGCGGCCAGATGTGTAGCGCCGGCTGCCAACGGTCAACAACGATGTTCGGTTGCATTAAGTTTTGTCAAGCTTCAAGGGGTACTTTCGTACTCCTGTCCAACTACAAATAATAATTCCTATTTAGAGTACTTTTAAACTTTGCATATACTTTGACAATTAAATATTTATTTATTCCTATTTAAATAAATCTCCTTGGATGATTTTGTTCAGTTTAACCTTTTTTTTCTAATCCGGTGAAGGACCCAAATGTAAAAATGGCAAATTATTATGTTTAGTTAATGAGGATATTGGGTGATGTAAGATTAAGATATAATGGGATGAGTGATTAAAAAAGGTGATGAGTGGTTAAAAAGGATGTCTACCAAAACACACCAAATTAAGGAGTGCACCGTAGAAGCACCCTAAAAAAAACTTACATACTGGATTTAATATACGGAGTACGTACATCATATATCATATAGAAAATCTGACTTCAAGATAGGTGAAGGTCACAGAACCTGAAATAAGGTTGAGCCTTTGTTGCGCACGGGTGTATGGGCCTACTGTCATTCTGCTGACTGAGTCACCGTGACTAACCTCCCCACCATCCTGTCGAGTCGGGTGGGGGGCTCCTGGGGTGGGAGATCCCACCTTTTGGAACAATAGAAAATCTGACTTCAATGCATCCAACAATCTCTATATGCAGTTTTGACGCATTAGTCTCATGTAATTTAAAAAGTGCGTCAAAATTCCGTATATTGTAATTAGTTATGCGTAAAATCCCTTTTGTGAATAAATTTAACAATTTTAAAATCACTTTTCTTAATATTACGATTCAGTGTTCAAGTAAATTTGTGAAAATATCTAAAGTATAAAAAATGTTAATCTTTTTTCATTTATTTAACAATTAAATTTGTTCATAAAAGGAATTTTGCACATAATTAATAGGGTTTAATGCACCAAACTCCCTTGTGATATGGAAATTCGACGCATTAATTTCATGTGATTTAAAAAATCCGTCAAACTCTCTTGTGTTTTAATTAATTGTGCGCAAAATCTCTTATATAAACAAATTTAATTGTCAAATAAAAGAAAAATGATTAACATTTTTGTATGATTTAGAGGTTTTGACATATTTACTTGCATATTCAATCAGAATATTAGGAAAAGTGACTTCCAAATCGTTAAATTTATTCATAAAAGGGGTTCTGTGCATGATTAATTAAAGGAAAATGGATCAAATACACTCGTGTACAATGATGAATCCGTCACTTAGACCCATGTACTAAAAAACGATCATATAAACTCATTTACTCTACAAAAGCAATCAATTTGACCCATTTTACCGGAAGCAACCCTCTGCAGCAGGTCAATTGCATTTTTTGTTTTGTTTTTAGTTTTTTTATCCTTTTCTTTTCTTTTCTTTTTACTTTTCTTCATTTTTTTATGACTCCTCTTCCCATTCTCAGGCTTCCAATTAAGCTTCCACCTTCTGCTTCGGCATAATTTCTCGTTCTTCCGTTATGTTCTTTGCCCTTCTCTCTGAAAACGCACAGCTCTCGATCTCCCAAATCTTTTAAAAACTTCTAGCATCATCTATGTCTTTTCAAACGGTGTAAACCACGGTCAACCCTCTTCCACATGTCTACAATTTTTGTATGAGGAAATTCAGTAGAATAATTGAATTCAAAATACTAACGTAGTAGCTGGAGCAATTCATACGAAGTTGAATTCTTAAAATTCAACTCTTGCCTAATAACCGCCGCATTAATACCATTATTATAATAATATATATTAGCTACCTAATTATGACCTGGACCAAAAAAGAAACTTCAACAGAAAGAAGCGCAAATTAAGCCTCGAGCAATTACGAAGAGAAGGAGGTTCACATTAAGAGAAGGGCGAATGTATTTTAGCTTGGAGCAATTCCCGGAAAGAAGAGCAATGCATTTGTAGCAATTACATCAACATGGAATGCTTGGAATTTATGCAAAAGAGAAGTCCGGAAGAGAGAGGATCGGAGGAAGTTTAAATGTTTGCTCATATAGAAATTCAACAATAAATTTATAAAGAAGGAATGAAAAGAAAAATGGGAAGCAAGAGGGAAGGAAAAGTGATTAAAAAAGCAAGAAGCGATGGTGAAGATGGAGCGGCCAACAGCGGTGAAAATGGAGGAGAGACCAACAAGAAAGAAAAAGAAATGAAAAGTATACATCAAGAGTAAGGAAAAAGAAAAAGCCTTCTACATTACCTGGTGACCGGCTAGAACAGGTAAACTTCCAATAAAATGGTTTAGATAATGGTTTTTTAAAAGTACATGAGTTTATATGATCGTTTTTGTAGTACATGAGTCTAAGTAACGGATTCATCATAGTACACGGGTGTATTTGACCCTTTTTTCTTAATTAAAACACAGGGGGGTTTGACGCATTTTTCAAATCATAGGGGACTAATGCGTTGAATTTCTATATCACGAGAGGGTTTGGTGCATTAAACCCATAATTAATAATAACATAGAGGGTTTTGATGCATTTTCCAAATCGTAGAGGACTAATGCGCCGAATTTCTATATCACAAGGGGTTTGATGTATTAAACCAGTTTAAATTGTGATCTATGAAGCCTAAAAACCTTATGTGTTATTATTAATAATAATGTAGTATATAATACTGAAATAAAAGGGGGTCGTTTCTTCTTACAGCGAATGAGCAAGGCCAGTTGAAGGCTGCGGGGTTGCGGCTTGTGGTCTGGTTTCGTTAGCTACAGGTTTCGCGAAGGAAGACAATCCAACATGGGCGACGTTAACGAGATGGAGGAGATAAATAGGCTAGCAAACGAGTATGGAAGATTGGAGATGGAGGAAGAAGATGAAGTCCTACATGTGGCGGCTAAAACTAAAGAGATCGCGGAGGTAGGGCTGACCTTGGTTGGAACAGTCACTTCTGAAAAGTCGGTACGCTTTTCTTTTTTCCGTGACACTATGTGTGGAAGCCTATTAGAGGTGTTACTATTACTGAGATAGGTGCACGAAGATGCATGTTTCAATTTTACAATGAAAATGATATGATACGTGTGTTGGAGGAAGGGTCGTGGACTTTCGACCAGAACCTAATTGTGTTTGCTAGGTTAAAGCAAAGTGATCCGCCTTTGAATATTTTGTTGAATAAGGCTGACTTCTGGTTACAGGTTCATGACGTACCAATGGGATTTTTTCAGTTGTAAATGCTATAAAAAATTGGAAATTTTGTAGGGAGTTTTATCAAGGTGGATGAACAGAATTTCTCTGTGGAATGGAACCCCTACATGAGAGTAAGGGTTAGTATTGACTTGAACAGACCTCTGAAGAAAAAACTGTTTCTCCAATCATACAAAGGGGAAATTTTTTGCGTTAAATTTAGGTATGAAAAATTGACTAGTTTTTGTTTTGCCTGCGGAGTTATAGGTCATGCAGAAAGGTTCTGTCCGCATTACCCTGATGGCAAGGGCAAAAGTGGAGGCTTTCATTTTGGACCCGAACTGAGAGCTTCAAAAGGAAACACATCCGGGGGAGGCAACAAATGGCTAGTCCCGGTTGGCAAAGGGAAAGGAAAAGACGAAGAAGAGGGGTTAGGGGTGGCCAGTTCGGATGCATATGGAAGACCGCAACAGGAGATGGACCATGCTCAGACAGGAGATAAGGTGGAACAGAAGCGCAGACGTGTGGATCATGAGGAACAAGAAGCATCACATAAGGATATGGACGTGGAGACGAGCATAACACAAAACGGGGAGGGGCAGACTACAACGCCCGCCTGTCAGGCAAATAGAAGATGAGTTGGGGAAGGCACAAGGGATGGAAGGTTACAGCATCCATCACCTGGAATGTTGTTTTTGTTGCACTTTTTTCTATTTCAGAACTCAGTTGTGTGTTGGTTTTTTATTTTCACTTACAATAAGGGTGTGGGTATGGTAGATTGTTGTTTTCTGAGCAGACTTTTTCTTGATGGAGGCAATCAGGCTGTCACAACCGCTAATAGCTTCTTTGTTCTCACCGTTTCAGCGATTAGTCTCGCTCCTATTGGGGTGGACTGTTCTATGTCTGAGCATGACGTGAGGGGGCCGATGAGCTTTTGGTATTGTGGGTCTAGTGGGAGAATTTGGTTTTGGATCTTGATTGATGTAATGACTCTTTTGATTCTAATATAAGCTCTTTCCTTTCAAAAAAAAAGTT